GACCAGCAAACATTGATGGTGAGGGCGATGACTTCAATCCACCCATGTTTGTGGGGCAGAATATTTTGTTTTTATCAGGCTCTTTATGTTTGAGAACAAGTTAATCAATCTGTGATGTTTAGGTTGTTCTCCTACGCTCACCATTCAGACCCATGTTTCCAATTTTATGCTGGATTAGCTATTCTACTAAGACAACCTAAAACATGCTAACTCGAACTTTTACATTAAGACTGTGTGGCAGGCATCAGATGAAAATACATCAGGAATTAAAGACATATTTATGAGTTTTCTTAACACTTTACTCTCCATATGCACTTTCTGTCACAACTCATTGTTCTTTACTACTGCTCTCTCTCATCTGAAGCCTCTGATCGCATTTCACTTTAGCTACAAGAGCTAGTATGAATTTAATCCAATAATTTATCATAACTCTGTCTGTTCCACTACAAAATTTTAAGTATTATTTATCGTTCACATCCAAGTGTCATGCTGCTCCTTAGTTTCTCTTTTTTCTTTCAGAACCATGCTCTGAGGGCACAGTTATGGAACTTCTGGCATCTGGAACAAACTAGGCGTACGTGTTTTCTTAAGGTCACAGTTCATACAAAGCGCTCTTTAAGTCTACTTTATAACTGCTATAAACTTAGAAAGTTGCATTGCATAAATACTTAGCACGACCAAAATCCTAACACAATAATGTTGAGATTGGATCTCGTGTGCAACGTGGACGCGATACCACTTTGGAGAATAATTTGAAGATTACTCAGCATATCTGAAGGAATGAACTGATATTCACTTTTATAGACTATATTTACTTAACATGAGTACAGTAAAACAATACATGTTGTAATTTATAGATCGTGCCTGGAAAAATGGCGTGTACCTGCCATTGCAGAAATATATTATCATTATTATTATTATGTGATGGTCAACCTTACGATTTCAATATATGTGGGGAGGTAACTTCAATCCACACACGTTTGTATGGCGGGATATTTCGTTAAATTACGGCTCGTTATAGCCAATTGGAATATTACGGACAATTGGTATTAACGCCGATTTATTACTAAAAGTGGCTCCTCGATCCATGTTTATAACTGTGAAATAGTTTCACATCCTTCCAATAAATCCTATTGCAAGTAACTCTAGACACTTACTCTAAAATGAAATCCACTCATGACCCTAAAAAATTTATAACAATAAAAATGAACTGAAATAGCTTTAGTGAAAACAAAAACTAAAATATGAGAGAGCCACTTGTGTGTCCGAATAGAGTATTCCTCACAATATTTCGAAACTACATATTATCTCATACTTTCAGCTTCTTTTTGAGCCACCTCCATTTATACACTTCTTTGTCCACTGGTTGTCGTACTTGGGCTTGCTTTCTTCAACCTATTGGGATGCTCTCGCCTAAACGTTGACTTAATGAAAGGAGACAAGTCCAAGTATTCATACCCTCATTATTCGATTACAAGTGACTCAACTTTAACACCTATCATAGTTATTTGCTCTGCTTTTTGTCCTTTCTGTTTTTACTATCCTTTTCAGCGCCCTCGTATATGCCGCCGAACACATGTGGCTTCGTTCTGCGCCATCATCGATGCCTCATAAAAATTAGTAGGATATAAGCTCTCAGTTTTACATGGATTTATTCTCGACCGTCAGTTGCACGTCTCAAATTCCGAAAGGCTTGCCGGCCCTCTTATTGACAGTCCGGGTCTTACTAATATTACTTAAATTTACATGTGAGAATTGTCATCACCCGGCTTTTATGAGCAGTGTGCCTCATGACATATCAACCTATCTGAGTAACTTATTAGCGTGAAGTCTTTATCATTTGTAAGTATTTGATCATGTCCATATAGGAGAACTGAAGACATTCGGATGATTAAAACCTTTCTACTGTACATCAATAATTTTACTGTGTTTTTGGATAAATTTGTTTTACTTAACCTTTGAACTTTTTTGTTTATATCATTCTTTTCGGACATTTTGGTTTCTTTTGTCATCGGTTTGATATTTGAGAGTTTTACTCCGGGAACCTACAAAATTGAAGGACGACATTTGGGTCGACTATTTGTAAATCTCGAATAAACTTTGGTATCTAATTGGAATTTGGTTCTATTGTTAATTTGGGTTCCTGAATTGCAAATAGATTGGCATACCATACTTCATTGAAGGGAACGAGCAAAGACTTGGACGTGACACACTGGCATACCTCATGTAACATTTTTATTCGAGGATAAATTATTATTATTCAAATATTTTCTGGTTACAATCTTGTTCTACAACTAAGTCCTGTATTTCATCGGTTAACAGAAATTTTACATCCGAACATACTTGAAACCGATACTTCGCTCAAGATATCAGCATTCTTCCTTTTCTTATTATTATAGCTAAGTTGATGTGTCTGAAGTTTCCTCGCATTCTCATGTCCACTATTCCATAATTAGTATACAACTAATCTAACTTTGCAGACTCATTTCAATTTCCAGCATGTGAAAGTTGAGGCGTAAAAGTCATTACCGTACACTTAAGATCTTTCTTGTGTGAATGTTCGTGTGAAAATCCCATATGAATGCATTTCATATTGCAGTAATTCTTGGTTTTACTTTACATATAACGAGAAGTCTAGTGCTCCTTGTATTCACAAGCATAATTTTTATCGATTTCGGCTTGTTTGAAGTTAACCCGACATAATATTTTTTTACAGGTTCTTGAACTGAATAAAATATTGACGTCGTCAGTACTTTTGTTACTCTTTATCCTTGTTTTATGTAACACCGCTTTTGTAGCTTGAGCAATCATTCTTTAATTTTCCCTGTGTACACTGATTAATTTAGTTCTGTGTGTCTGGAACTGAAAACCATTAACTGTTTATCGAAAATGTGCATTGTTATCAACTGGTAATTAGGTCGTTTGACTATTGCTTTTATGTAGTTGTCGTCTTATACGTTGCTTCCTGATTTTTGGGGTAAATCGAATATATCCATCACTTTGTCTATGGCTGAAACAATGTTTATCGCTTTGTAGGGAAACGTCTTTCTATTTGACCACTGGCCAATTCATATTCTTAGCGATTTATTCGCCAGTGTCCCATTGTCTGATTACACTGTGTTGTTATAACTGGCAACTGTTCTTGTTGGAGAAAGTGTCGAATTACGGTGTACTTCGCTATTGGCACTGTTCATATAATAGACCGAATCCTAAAATTGTAGATTTACTACCGTGTAACTGCCTAATATATAAGATCTTACATGGAATTCACATCATCGTCGATACTGAATCATCGTATCGTAACAATCAGCAATATATTATGGAGAACACATTTAGGCCGGAGATATAGCAATATATTTAATGTGAATGAAAGATATAAGACAACACACAAGAATGACCACGCCTGGAAGCTGAGCCATGTCATCCTATGAAATGAATTCGATCCATTCTTCCCGCCATTTCCATCGTTGGGTTTTTTTCCTTGTTAAATGTTGAATATTTATTTTCCCAGTTGTCTCGTGTTTAGCTTTGAGGATTGTGCAGTTAGGACCCAGTGGTATTACAGGGGTATTAGAAAGGTGTTTTTATATTTCCTGCTCGTATTAACGTTCTAAGTACTGCTTGCGTGTCATTTTCTAACCTATCCCACATTATGTCAAAATCGTTGATAGTTATCATGTATTGGTACGCTTGAATTTATTGGTGCATTAGTGTGTAATCTGACGGTACAGAACTACCGGAATTCCAATTATTATTGAATTTGTACCTTTGTCTCTGCACTTGATTGAAACTCTCACCCAATTGCTTTCACTACTTCTAGCTGAATTTCCATTATTCCATTAAATCTTTCATTCTTACCCACTAGGTGATCATCAATTCATCTGTTTCTTTACCACGTTCATCATCAACTTGCAGTAATAATTAACTTTGACCTCTGAATGCTTTATTTTTATTCCGTTTCTGGGTCACAGTGGCAAAGCATTTATGTTTGCCCTTTGGTGTTTATGGTTGTAGGATTATCTTACTTTAATCGATGCTTATATTAGAAGCTACATCGACTTCAGGAAAAAGATGGAGAATAGACATCATTTGCATCTAGAAATCTAGATAATTTTCTGACACTTGTCTAGGAGACAGCAAACCTTTTGGTTGGTTGCTGATGAAAAGTACAACTCAATTACGATGTCTCCTTCTTGAAATTAATGCTTCACAGTTTATTTACTTAGTCAGCTTTAGGCTCACTATCGATCATTATTTATGTCAACCTACTTCTCTAATTCTCATTTTGATTTATTCAGTGATTAAGTGTTTGTGATTTAAATGTCAGTACAGAGCTCTCAATTTTCTAATTGTATGGTTCATTGTATAATAAAGATCTTAAAAATCACGAGTCATAACATAGCGAGATGTGTATATACGTCTCATACGTCTACATTCATTGCCGGACGCATTAGCAACAAATATAACTCTGTAAATATACATGTGCATTTAATCGTAACTGACTATGAGTCAAGAGTCTTTGTATGCCATGATCTTAACGTCTCCCTTCACAAGCTTTTGTTTATCTATAGGGTCGATATATGTATGGACATTAGGACGAACAGAAATAGATAAGAATATGTATATATATGGTGGCGAGAATATAGTATACTGGTGAAACAATCAGATCTAAGATTGTGAGTCCTGGAATTTGGCCAGGAGTTCATTCATCCATACCACAAATCAATATATTGGGATTATAGATTATGTCGGTTAGTGATAAAAACACTGATTCTTAAGCTATAAATCTAACTACTGTTCACGGTCCCTCAAACTACTTGACAAAATTATTTCGACCGCAGTAAGTTGTTACAGTTTTCTAGGAACATTTTAGTGTCACTTAAAGGTCCATAATCTATAGCATCTCCAGAGTCTAGGTACTTTTTAAAAAGAATTAACATAACTCCTCTTCCTTCTATTCTCAAGGCACAAATCTGAATAACCTGTGTTCAGTAGTCCACGGAAAATTGTATTCCACATAAATCCCTATCAAAAACTTGGAACTGTACCTAAACAACGAAGAAAGAGAGCAAATTAATCAGTCGTCTTGCACAAGTTTATCACAAAAATATTGTTTATTGCATTACCAGTGTAGTGACAAATTTATGAATCATTTGGCAACGTGACCTTGGGTACACGTATGTTTGCATTTTTGCACAGATATTTCCATTTTGTTAGTTTCTAAAATTATATACCTTATACGTAGTCTACTCAGCATAAGTAAAAAACAGCGGAAAGTTGTTGTTCACTGCAAGAACAGCCTGTTGTGAAAAGCACGGTCAAATGAAATGAAAGTCATGAATTCTAAATGCTGATCAGCAGCTTGAACGCGTCCTGCAAATCAAGCTCTGTCCATTTGTTTTAGGGAGGCGGTCAGCTGCTTATAACGGGTTAGCATTTCTGTAGTGTTTTATTCACCAAACCACAAAGCAACCAGATCTCCCAACTTTAAGGTTGGAAGATTAAGGAAAATTTCACCGATTCTGAGGAGCTCCCATTAAAAACTTCACTTTTTGGAACAAAACCCTGTACCACTGCAGAGTTTAGTGTTTTCCCCCAATTCGCAAAGACTCCGAGAATTCAAGAGATTGGAAACATTATTAATATTGACTTTGTTCACATTTGTTCGTTTATTTTCATATTAGTAGTCATAGAAATTTACTACAATCACCAGTAGAACTACTTTGATTGTTTCTGTTAATCTCGTTAGTGTTGTGTGACGTGGTATTAAGACTTCAGCAGTTGCATATGTGTCAGGCCCCACATAGACTTGGTTATGTGCATCGTGTCGTTATCTACAGGGGGCATTTTCTGAACCCAACAACCAGAGTGCACACAAACAATACTGAGCTGTGCGGTCGAGACTGAATGAGTTTTTGCGACCTTATCATGGATCCAGAGGCCGACTATTATGGAGCCATAAGGAGGATTTCCTCTACTGTATGCATTACGATTTTAGAACCTCTGGACCTCTTTCTAACCTTGACAAGTTTTCGAACCATGTGGAAAAAATGTATCCACCTTAATTTTTTGGTTTTGTACAATATACTTTTACTCTATACTAACTGTGTTGACTGGCTAGTGTTTCTCAAAGTCACTTGCGATTCGTTCAAAGGTCGTCCATAAATCATAGTCTCGACGTATTCCAGATGCAAATTTATTATTAAGTAGTTGAAAAATTAGTCTAATCGCCTCTTGTTCCCTCTTACGACAAAAGAAGTAGGCTTAGGTTAGCAACTCTCGTTAAACAGAAGCTTTGTGATTCCGAGGATCACCTTAGTTACTGTTCTTCAAACCTTGTTCAACAGCTTATCATTTCTCTAAGCAGGGACTGGCTGATCGTATGGAATAATTAAGTTTAGACCAAATGAAACGTAATTAAAGGCTGGACCTATTGATTAGAGAGTTCTGAAACTTCTAAAAGCCAATGCACATCAGTGTACAGTGATTTTAAGTTCCAACGAATGACTTCTAAATTAGTGTGTTGTTGGGCAATGGAGCAATGTTATAATTTACCAACGAAGCAGTGAAATTAAGGATAGCAATCCTTGAATTTTGGTGTGAAGTTCATTTACCTATATGGTTAAATAGCATTCTGACGTTATAATTGATGTCATTTTGTAATGAAAACCCTTACTCAAATTCCCAACCCTAACTTCTGGGTTTCGGTCGCATTCCTAGTTCTTCACACTAATCTACAACCCTCTTTTGACCCTAGAAAGTGATAGGAGGGTCAGGTCATCTGAGCAGTCCGATTCATCTACTTGCATTCAGTCTGCCTATTGTATTCCTTGCTTCCTCCGAAATGTTAAGGTTTTCATAATCCAGTCAACCACCAGAAGAAAAAACGGAAGAGTAAGCAGCCTTGTCTGACACCGGTCTTCACTTGGAATGCAGCCGTCCTCCATACACGACTTTTCAGTGTAGTCGACCGTATGAATTCCGTATGGTGTTGACAATCTTTCCAGCTACTTACTACATTGTGTTGAAGAACGTTCCATAAGTCCATCCCATACACACTGTCAAACACTCCCATAATCAAGGAAGATTATGTATAGTGACGAGTTCCATTCACTTGACTGTTCAATAATGATCTTTAGTGTCGCGTTTTGGTCCGTATGTGACAGATCCTTACGGAATCCGATCTGTTGATCTCAAAGTTGGGCGTCTATTGAATTTTTCGTTCGGTTCAACAACGCTATTGAAAACGTTTTCTGGTATTGATAGTATTGTGTTGCTTCATTAGTTCTCACACTCAATGAGATCTTTCTTTGATATCTTGATGAGGTGTCCTTCTTTCCAGCCTGGTGACACTTGTTCTTCCTCTCAAATCTTTCTGATTAGTATTTCGAGCATCTTTGCAGTTATTCCTTTATCGGATCCTGCTGCTTTCCCACTCTTAATTTGTCTGATATTCATGCCGATTTTTTCTATCTTTGTTGGGGTGACAGCTATAAGAAGGTCTGTGTGTGTTGCTTCGATGTTGGGTGCATTCAGTGGGGTTGGTTTATTTAAGAGTTTTTCAAAGTGCTTTACCCACCTGTTCCTCTGTTTGTGAATCTCAGTGATTGACCTGCCTTCTTTGTCCTTGACTGGTCGTTCTGGTTTACAATATTTCCCTGCTAGTTTCTCCGTTGTGTCGTATAGCTGTCTTATATTTCCTTCTGTTGCGGCTTTTAACTATGTCGTTGCTAGGTGTTTCACATATTTCTACGTGTCAGCTCTAATGCTCCTGTTCACTAGCTTGTTTGCTTCAGTGTGTTCCAGTTGTCCTTCATAATAGTTTCTTCTTGTAGTAGATCTCGTAATGATTGGAACCAATTGTTGAGAACTGTCTTGAATTCGTTGAGTTTGTTAGTATCTCGAAGTAAGGCTGTATTAAACATGTGTAATATTGTTTCTCCAGTTGCTTAGTGGTTCTTTAGCTTCTGTTTCCTCTTGGGCACAACCAAATGGTGATTTGAATATATATCAGCTCCTCTCCTGGTTCTCACATCTTCCATTGTCCTTCTGAAACTATTAGTGATACAATTATAATCTATCTAGTTCTCCGTGATGTGATCCGGTGAGACCCATTTAGGTTTTTGTATGCGTTTGTGTGGGAATATAATGCCACCTGTAACCATTTCGTTGAATGCCCATAAATTCGCAAATCTCTCACCTTTCTCGTTTTTTTCTTCTTGTAAACCACGTCGTCCCATGATATCTTCATACCCAATGTTGTCCATTCTGACTTTGGTGTTTAGGTCTCTCTTCAAGACTGTCAGGATCTTTCCTGAACACTTCGCTATGATCGATTACAGCCTCATGAAACTGATCTTTATCGTCTTCGTTGCAATCATTGATGGGTGCATAACACTGGATAACATTCATAACTACGTTCACCATTTCAATCGCTCCTGATAACAAACTAATTACATCTCAGCAGCACTGATGGCATAGCCACACGCATCCGGGTCTACTATAACTTGTTAACATTGCAGGTATTTGATTAGTGCAAACTTCATGGTACGCTTACTACACTGCATCTCACTAACCCTAAAATTATCCGACTAAGTTCATCGGTCATTTTTATTTCATTTATTTTATTTGAACACATAAATATTTTTACAAGAGAGCGCCAGTATATATGCGCCACACAAACACAATGAGAATTCGAAGAGAAAAGAAAAAAAAGGTAAGGAGCGTAAAAAAAGAGAACAATAACGAGGAGGTTGATGTAAGCTAGTGTAGTAATAATAATAGTAATAATGAGGGAACGGAAAGGTACAATCAGAAGAAATCTTTCAGGTAAGGGAGACACAACCACTTTTTATGAAGAAAGTAAAAGAAGGTTACAGCAGGATCGCCAATGGCTTCTATTCTGAGCCATATCTGATAACGTCTCTAGCCACTGTGTGGCACCATCCTTCAGACCCCAACCAGGGAGTCGTGAAGGACCGACAGAAGCCAGTCCTTCGCAGCTTTCTTTCATGCCACGACACCATGTCATGCACTGATCACCTCTCCGCTTCTTCCAACCAGTCCCAGAGTCGGGAAACAATGCACGACGTGGAATTATCTGAGACGATATTCGTAGAACATGTCCAAGCCACCGAAGTCGGTGTTTCAAGATGGTAACACCAATTGGATTATCGTCTCTGTGCCCGAACACACGATGCCGAACCTCTGCATTACCAACATGGTGTTGCCACTGGATGTCAGCAATTCTTCGGAGACAACGACGATCGAACACAGAGAGTCGTCTAACGTCCTCAACTCGGAGAGGCCAGGTTTCACAAGCATAGAGCAAAACTGCTCTCACCAACGCATTGTAGACCTGACCTTCTACAGCCAGACTGACATCGCGAAGGCGCCAAAGGTGGCCCAGATTGGTCTAAGCCGCTCTGGCTTTCAATATACATGCATTGATCTCATCACTCACACCCCCACCAGCACTTATGCAGCCACCTAGATACACGAACTTCTCGACTACTTCTATCTGCTCACCATCCAGGGTGAGTGCAGGATTAGGATCCTGCCAGTCTTGTAGAAATAGTTTATTCTCAAATAACAGTTTGTTACATAAGGCATGCCAGTTTACAGGCAAGATCAAATTGATACAAATGATACAATATTCACTGTAGTAAATTACATAGCTGGGTTGATAATTTATGAGATATGAATGTAGATGGTTTTAAGCAGTTCTACAGTTAGCGCGCTTCATGAAAGTTGCGTTGCAAATGTGCGACTGATGGTCAAGGATAGGTCCATTGAAGGTATGAGCTTCTAGAAATCGCAACCTTATGTCCCTTTGGAATATCCAAGGCTTTAAGGATGGTGCAGGATAAAGTCACCCGTTCCATATCTCAAGGGGGCTGAAAGAGGGAGCAAGTAAAAGAAAACACGAGAGGCAGAGTAGCCAATATTCTTGAAGGAATGCTTAAGGTATGATTACTCAGTCTAAGTTTCTTTTATTAAGGTATTTGTTAAGAAATCGCATTTTAATAGGTTAAAGAAAATAAGTGATAACAAGGTGTGAGTGGACATACAACTGACAAATGGAGGCGATTCGTAAAGGAGCTGAAAGTATGGGATTATTTGTGATTATAAAATAAAATATAGTGCTAGAAACAGTATTGTGATATACAATTGGCTA